GGAACCGAAAGCTTGGTTTAAATAGGTAATTCAATGTATTGCGCTATTTGAGATATAACGCTCTCATTGGCTGATGATTCAGAACACTTTATGGCGAAAACAATGAGGGTCAGTGGAGAGAATTAATCAGTTCACACTATAGCAGTTAGTATAACAATGTCGTCTAACCTGACACGAACACTTGAAGCAGACTTTTTAGTGACACAGTGGGCAGCGGTCACAACCCATTGAGGATGGACTAACGTRCCACCACAATATGTAAAACCAGAGGTTGATCTGATCTGTGCTTGCCATGGCCATGCGCCTTTTGGTGCYTCGGTTCCACCGACAATCCTCACACTTGGTTTGTATCCACACTGACCGCTACCTCCTCCTCCGCCTCCTCCTCCTCCGTCACATAACCCACAGCTCTTTTTACAATTTTTTTTCATGTATGGTTCATACTGACCTTTACAGTGGCCTTCCTTTCTCCAGTAGTCACAGTTTTGGTTGTTATCAATACAGGCTTAAAAGAAAGTAAGAGTACTGTTCAATGTATGCAAAACATCTTAAGGAAAATGCTCCATGATTTGTCTTTTTGTTAYTGAGTATGACGATAGAATCATCCGCACAGTAATCCCGTTTTAAACTCTCAATCACATCGCTGAAAACTCGTCAAAAATTRACCTACGTAGTCCTACGTAGACCGGTATAAACGCAAGAGAACACTGCGATGKTATTCTTATTGAAATAACTGTCTCAGTTGAAAAGGTGTAACTTTATAAAATATGGCAAGATACGGGAAGAAAATTCATGGTTAACTTGAAAAGTCTTTTATTATAGTAACTAGGATGAATCTGCAACYCTCCTTAATTTCACGAACGTACATATATTTCAGAAAACAAAAATATGTTTTAAAAAACGCATTTTCTCGCACACCACTGGGAGCTCGGTATTGTCTAGCTGACTACATTRAAATGTTTAGAGCTGTTTTTAGCCCTCAAGTTCCAAAGATCTTAGCAGTGTTATATTAAAAACTTAGTCTTACCGGAGTATGCGAAACTCGCAAGAATGGCCACACCCACGAGACTTAGAATGAGCTTCATGGTTGCTGTAGTCTATGGTTGAATAGTCTGTACACAGCGATGCACATTGAGTTTTTTTATATTAAGTCAATACAAAGATTCAAATACCTGAACAAATGCAGAAGCTACGACAGCAAATACGTTCAACAAAAGCCATCGGAAATTCAAAAGACCGAATGTAATAGCTGTATAAATACATCACAAACTATCAATGTAAAACATTAAATACGTGGACACCACCTTTGTTACTCCTGGACACCTCGTTACGTCGTAAAACTAAACTGTGAACTGAGTTGGTCAAATAAATCAGTTTGCTAACAAAACAAATCATAGAATTGTTACCATACATTACTTGTTATCGGCTAAAATATGGAGCTCAAAATATGATTTCTATCGACCTCTGTAGATGTCGGTTGAACAATTTAAAGGACCAGTTTGCACCATTATGCTTTGCGCGCCTCTCTTATTATGATTTAGACCAAAATACTTCTAGTATCCAAATATCACCATTAAACGAATGTCAGATGGTTGAAAACTCTAATATTAGCGTTTAAAGTGCTTAGAAAAATTAGATGGTCAAAGATTCGAATCGCACAGTACAATTTAGACAATTTATAGACTTTCGGTAAACTGAAAATGGCCGCCTCCAGGCCCTCGCGGCGCCCAAGGCATAATGGTGCACACTGGGCCTTCAAGTGTACATGACACCTTTAGAAAAACAMTTTTCMAATGTAACAAAAAGAATAACGTCCTCTTTCATGATGTGTATATTAAATCATTCCTTAGTAGACGTCACTTCATTTGCATTTTCTAAGTTTCAATTGACCATAATTTAGAAAAGACAATTTTAAATCAAATTCTTTCTTCACAGATGTACTTAGCARCATTTTCTCTTTTGGATKAGAATGAATTTCTATTGGTGTCATGTGCACTTTCAATATATATATGATATATATATAATTTCATCTCAAAAGCATCGAATCAGGGCCTGGGTCAACAMGAATTTGATGTAATATCAACTATTTGCTGAATTTGATACAAATCTGAATTTTGAATGGAACAAGAAGGACAAGTGCTGTAAGCTGATATAATAACCACATGACATTTACCAGGTTCATTGTATGCGTCATGAGATTCCACCAAAACTGAATCAATCGATTGTGATTAAAGTTCTGTTTTGCAATGATGAAGCACAGCCAGAACATGATCCATTTATCAAAACATCATGAGCTTTTTAGCAATTTGTGATCTTGAGAAGTTATCTTTCAGCAGCGTATTAATAGAGRATGATGCTGTAGTACAGCGAAAGCTAGACTACTATCAAAGATTATTCACTATCACACAGCAGTATTTGGCCGCATCTGTTGCATTATTGCTTCTTAATTTTTAATAATATTTAATACATTTTACACATTTATGAAACAATGTGTAATATAAAGTGTGTTATAAGTAATATATACAATATGAGCGGGCGATCTGTGTGTAATATACAACTCTCTTCATGGGCTATGATTTCTATTGTGTTTTGCCTTATGAATATTAATGAGTTTTATAAATCAAACCACATACTCCCCGCCCACCACCAACCACGAGCAATACCCTATAAATTATCATATCGGCTGCTTTAACAGTACAGCTTTTCACGGATCTTAGACGCAAAAAAACGGTCGTAATGAGGTTTGGACGTAATAGGGGCAATAAGCCGAAAGAAAAGCGAGCAAAATTGAGACTAATGAAGTGTAGTACGGTTAAGTATATTTCACGCGTTTATGAAAAACAAAAAAAGCTATACAAAGTTATTTCGTTAAACAGAGAATGATATTCCGTAAAAACGAACAACAATAAATACCAAATTTAATCTTTAATACATCTCAAATATTACTAGAGTATTGAAATCAAATTGCGATGATTTCCGAGAATGTCGTTCTTATTCTTGCAAAAAAAGGCCAATAACTTGGCATTGAGAAGGGGGAGATTTGTAAAAAGGTGTTTCGTAATCTATGACATTTGTATGCGATATCATGAAGTGCAAGGTTTGATATAGCCCGAGTAAGGTGTGATGTAGCCCGAGTAAGGTGTGAAGTAGCCCGAGTACATCCTTTAAGAGCGTCTAGTTMAATGATAAACAACTGGCTTGTTTTTCAGTACTTTTATTGTAACGATCAGTACAGTGTTTAGTATCGCCGCATTTGGCTGTCAATCCATTGCCTGAGGTATCTCACACGTGCGTACACTCCGTATTTGCCAGGAGCAGCACAGCCATGGCCCCACGACACTACCCCCTCTAAGTAATATTTGCCTCCTTGCTCACAGACCATAGGACCTCCAGAGTCACCCTGACAGGAGTCTTTTCCTCCTCGGGCGAGTCCAGCGCAGACCATAGAGTCATGAATGGAAGAGCCATAKGCTCTTTTACATGTGGACTGACTAACGACAGGAACATCGACTTGCATCAAGACCCTTGGGGATGAACCTCCCGATGATAGCCGTCCGAATCCTAGGAAAGAAATGAATAATTCACTATCACCGCCTTGGTACCTATGCATTATCATCATTTACCCTTCATTGCACACTCTTGACATCGTCGTAATATCCTCGGGGATCAAATTGTTCTTTTTTTCTTTGGTAAGAAAAGGCTTCAACAATGAGTCAATTTTAGAAATTCTGGCTAAGCGATCATCAAGACAACGAGAAAATAAAAGAATAATGTCCCTTCAAACCAGCAATATATTGCGGCTGAAATCGCTGGCTTTTTAGTCTGTTTGAAATATAAGATCACTGTGTTTTTTGCTGAGATCTTGGATCAAACGCCATAAAACCACCATAAAAGTCGCCGCTGCATGGAATTGCTACAAACATTGCTTTAGCATCATTTTACCCTTGGAGCCTCGCTTTCAAAAGTTCGTTTATTGAAATTTTCAGATCTAACATCGTCAGTTATTTTCTCTTCATCGCTCAACATCATCAAATACAAACCTGTAACCCAGCACAYTTTGTTATCTTGTACCGCTCCACTGGAAGAAGGAAGGCAGGCMAGGTTTACAGCTTTGTTTATTCGAGCAGGTGTTCTTAGTTTCAGCAGTGAGATATCGTGAGCCATGCCGTATGGTCGCTTGTAGCTGTTATGGTTGATCACTCTTTCAACTTGGAAGTCTTGTTCTGTTCCAACATTGCTTGTGCGGTAGTGAGCACCCAGCCTGAAATGATATAAACATGTTATCATGGGTAATAGATACTCTTCATCCTGTTAATTGAATCTAAAATTATTTGTATTAACATAGCAAATCGTGTACAAGCAATCAGCAAAAGCTCGGGAACTTGTGGTCAATTTATTAAATAGATTGTAGACAAGGAAAATTAGATATATTATTTGTTTTCATTTCCTCCATAAATTCATTAATTTTGCCAAAATGTATGGGGGACCATCGCCCTCTACCTACGATATGTATAGTTTAAAACACGAGAGAGAGTGTTTTATCACGTATAAAGATTTGAGCCGAAGGCGACGGTAAAGAGTATGCGAAATTTTAACAAATCAAAACGAATATCATCAAAAAATTCCTAGAGCGTTATGGTACTATTCTAACCTGACACGGATACTAGAAGCACTTTTCTGGGTACAGTGGGCAGCGGTAACAACCCATTGAGGATGGACTAACGTRCCACCACAGAATGGAAAACCTGAGGTTGATCTGAGTTGTGCTTGCCATGGCCATGCRCCTTTTGGTGCYTCGGTTCCACCGACAATCCTCACWCTTGGTTTGAATCCACACTGACCGCTACCTCCTCCACCACCACCTTGTAGAGATTACGTAAAAGATTATATGAGGATATCATGAATATACAGCAAATAAATTGGAATCAGCATAATCTTTGATGGCATGATCAATAAGATCAAGATAAGTTGGTCAATATAGTCATATCATGAATATGCAGCAAATATATTGGAATCAGCATAATCTTTGATCTCATGATCAATGAGATCAAGATATAAAGTTGGTCAATATAGTCATATCATGATCGTTACGTTTGACGAACAAATGGAACATCTGAATACGCATCTTAAATGTTTTGACGAGTTTGCTTGTAAGTGTTATGATAATGTTATAGGCATAGACGTGACAAACATCAACTTCTTACCTCCTCCTCCTCCGCCGCCTCCTCCGCCACCTCCACCGCAGATTTTGCAGGATTTTTGACAATTCCTTTTCATGAAGTTCTCATATTTTCCTTTACAGTATCCTCTCCTTGCCCAACTAGGACAACTTCTATTCTTATCAGAACAGCCATAAGCAACACAGGCCAAGGCCGATACTCCTAATAAGCAAAGTAATACCTTCATGATGATCACACTAGATGTTGTGCATGAAGTGCTACATGGTTAATGCGTTTTATAATCACCAAAACTGCCGTCAAACACCCTGACTAATCACAGATGGACGACTGTAACCATACTAATAACCACCACGTCGGTCACGTGACAGCTGAATAACTTTTACSGGTTATTGTACTGGGTTTTTAATATACTTTATTACACATTAGCTGATTCCATGACGTATGCATCATTAAACATAACAAATACAAAATATCAAGCCTTAAGAAAACTTCTTTGATATTTGCATGGACATAATACAATTTTTTCAGATTGATACCATGATCAACATGGACTAAAAGGCAGACGGMGTAAAACGATCAATAAATGTTCATATGCGTAATTTACCCTTCATACATGCTTCATATAATAAGTATTGCRTTTTGTTTTATCAATTCACATTTCTTAAACACCTTTTTTTAATGATTGCTGACTTGCTAAGGGTTTGACGGTAAAAATGTAAACTTTACGGCCGTCTTGTTGTCCTGTTTAGACAACTGAAACAATTCAACCTTCACARTTTTATGCAAACTTCAAATACACGCCTTAAAATCAACATTTCGTGTTTGTCAAAGTGAATTCAGTAACATTAAATCACTAAAATTAGTTATGAACTCCGTTAGAAGTCCAAATCGAATCTGAGATATTGGAGATGTTAGAATTAATGCAAAGCGATTTATTATTATTAACTCTCGTTTTGACAAAATCGTACCGTCGCGTTTTTGAATTACGTTCAACTTCCGGCATGGTTAAAAGGAGTTTMATTTCAAACAAATTGCAAAACATTCTTTCCAAGGTTACCCTGACTGAACCTCACCTATCACATCATATTTTACCACATTAATACTTTGTCTTTTTTCAAGAGGTTTCCTCGATTGTCTACTTTGTATTCAGCTATTTAAGTAAACATTGATTCCTGGAAATAGTGAGATCGATAAGACCGATAAGCGTTATGGGTAGAAACTTCTTTCGGCAAGAAAMCTATTTTGATACATTTATTCAGAAATCAGTAATATTGTACTTAGTCATCGTTCACGCTGATTACGTTCTCGTAGCCTTTTTGTCGTGTTGTCTTCGATACAAAAACTYAACCAAAACGTCTTATTGCGGAACGTTTTATTTTATTGCAGACGTGACGTGAAGGCTTTCTATTTATACCTTTTTCACTTTTTTTTACTAGATGATTCCAACAAGAACGTATTACCAATGTGTTAAGAAAAGATTCCGTCTCACCTATTTGAACTTGCTAAATGCGAGTTTGAATAGACTTTCTGTCTAAAAGAACGTTAATTCGGATGAAATGTTGGCTGGAAAATTCAATTATGATTTGATATTGCTGRTACGCGAGGACAGGGAAGTTTTTGGATTTCAAAAATATTTAGACTGGGTGTGSTCGTTTATGCCAATACAACATGAAAACATTTTTGCGTACCAAAATATTTATTATTATTCAATTTGCTTTGTGTTTTACAAATCAAAAKTCTCTATTTGGATCATATGATTTACTATCATTTCACGGGAAAAAACTAATTATTGAAGGTTCAAGTCTTTAGCAATCATAGTTGAGCATATTGGATGGTAGAATGATCGGTTAGCAGTGAACGTCTCCACGGCCAATGCACGTGACTCGTCTCCACACTTGTAAAGTTCTCTAATGAAGGAAAAAAATGATATAAATGAATCCCAGTTGAATAACTGATTTGATGATGGAACGAAAGAGAAAAGGTGAATTTGTTTTTACATGTAATGATGGTAACTATTTAACGTTGGAGGAAAATAACGGGAAAACGATTCTAATGAAGCCTCATAAGGACCATATCTATTTATGGAGGGTCAGATAAGGAGATATTTTGTGTTCTCACTTCTTGAAAAACAAACACAACATCTAGACGATTAACAACGAAAGGAGAAGTAACAACAAAGCAAAATTAACATCAACAAAATATTTAGAATAACTTACTCATAGAGCGGGCGGACATATTTCATTCTTCCTTGTTCCAAAAGAAAATCAACAGTTSGACTGAAAGCTTCCTTGGATTTGCTACGAACTGCTAAACGAAGCCATCTGGTACAAAGTGAAATAAAAGTCATAAGTAAGATAATTCTATCAATTTCAGTTTAATGGGAAAACTTCACCGAAAAAAAAAATATAYGAACAAACAAATTGTATTTCCGGCATCTGTGAAAAGCATTGTCATACCTAAATCTGATTTCATTATTTTTTCTTCTGTTCATTTCGTATGCTTTCTCCATTGCTTCAATATGTTCCAACGGAAAGGGATTTTCTTTCGACTAAAAGAGAAAAAAAGTTATTGCTTCTTGAAGATAACATCAGGTTAATGATGACATGAACTTACATGGACAAGAAGCTGTGCAAGCAATTCTATGACCTGAGCAGAACTGAATCCTTCCAGATCTTTTGACGAGAAAGAAGACAGATCATCTTTGCTTGCCTAGGGAACATATCATACATTTGTAAACATGTCTTGGTTTTTGCTCATAATCAAACATACAACGGTTGACTGTGATGATTAAAATATGCAAACTCACATTAATCCATCTTTGACACAATTCGGTACAGGAATCTGAAAGAGTTGTGTCATACCTAAAAGGAAAGAAACTGTATTTTCAACAGCCCCAGGAAACCATTATAAAACTAAGATCAAACCACTCATTTCTTCAACATTTTCTTCAATCAATAGTTCATGATAACAA